ACCAGCCAACTTCACCAGGAAATATGCTAACGGGTGCCTTCCTTAGCCGAGGCAGAGGCGATCTGTCAAGCAAAGCGAGCTCTCTGTTTTCGCGAGACCATGGCACAAGTAGTTAGTTCACCTGGCCGACTGCAGACGGGAACCACACGGCGCCCAAAGCCACATAGAACAGTCAAAAGCACGCTGAGCGTCTGACTTACAGACACCAGACAGCCTACAATGAGAAAGTTCTTCATCCGCAACAGTCCGCACGCCAACCCCAACACACCGACTCTGACATGCAAAAGACGAGGGAACGAAGAGATGACTAAGCACCCAACCTGCAACACACCATGCGGACCCTGTATGCCTTACGCATAATTGAATGTCTTATTCGCCAAGCGGTTGTACGAGCCTGGTGATGAATTGCCGTTAACGTATATTTGCCAAATAGACTTTTCAATTCAAGGATGGTAATATTTGCAAAACATATTTAATTCAAAAATAATCGACAACCTAGCTGTCATATCGCACATGTAATGGTTGAAAAGACTTTCCGCTATTTTTGACCCACTCATTGATAAAGCGGATACAATCCTGTTGACTAGCTTAGTCTTTGTCTCATAAAAGAACACATTATCAGTAATTTTATCAGTTTCGTAAGAGGGGTAGAAGACTAAATGTTATTTTTTTAAAAACGGCATATTGTTCTTTTTTTCAAAAAAAACAATTAAAATATATCCTCCGAGGCTGGTTCTCCCGTAAGAGAGAACAGATGGCAACGAAGAGCCAGAAGACTGGGTAAACACAGGAGGTAGAGTGCAACCTTGGCCAAGCCGGAGTGTTCTCCCACGTAACCAGTAACCTTCGTAGCAACTGTGTCTAACTGTGCCTCGAATTTCGTCAGTAGATCATCCCAGGTGTCGATCACTTTATGCATGCGTACAAGAATTCGTTCCACATCCAACTTATCGTGCAGTTGCTGTATCATCTTCTTCTGCTTAGCTCGTAACTGTTTCGTGACTGTTTCCAACTTTCCGTTAAGGTCTTGCAATTGTTTGCCTGTTGCGTCAAGCATGACCGTCAAATCGGGCGGAATTTGCGATACACTTCCTGAATTAAAATTGTTTCTAAGAGGATCAATCTAAAACAAGCGTAGAAGTAGTAAGTTAGGAAATAGGATATGAAATTCCTATTAGTAAACAAAACAAATCAAAGACATATAGGAAACTGGTACAATTTTCAAATGTCGGTTAATCAAAAGATTCGTTTCCAGATTATGAGAATTAACAAGTCTGAGGGTTCATAACCGAAAATGTTTGTTTGTTGAACTGGCCTTCCTATATGTAAGTAGAGTTAGTACTTTGCTTTTGGAGATGTATGGAAACGGTCAAGTTAAATAGCATATATAATCTGTGAACGCCTGTTTTAGTAACTTCAAAGTAAACCAATGACCATGAAGTGGCAATACAAACGAACATGCGAGTCTCGGGAGGTAATTGAGAGAAATATACGATCGCTGGGACAAGACTTTATTCGCCTGACGTTTCGAGGTTTGGCGCGGATTCTTCATCAGCGTCAGTGACATAAGCGGTAGCAGAAAGGGGTATCGACAGGTGTTAAGGCTCAGAAGGTTAACCCTAACAGCTACGATCTTCCTGGCCCATAGTTCATTTAGGCGAGGAGAGAAGACGGTGAGAAAGCCAGATTGTTAGGAATGATGTATTCACTATGCTAAGAAAGTGAAATAATTTCTATCCGAGCGACAGTTGAAGTCTCGGGGCGCACGTGAGTAGAAGTAGACATAGATGTTTTTTTAAATAATGCGTATCCTACTTTCTTTCTTTTCGACTTGGACCTTATAAACCGGGATGCAGTGCATAGCGGTTTTGGAAAGAAATACACATAGTCGGTGGAAAAAAATGGTTGTCTTTTGGTAAAGGAGACAAATGGTCGAACACTGGAACGAAATTTATTTATTCC